TAGAAAACTTTTAAAACTTCAATCGTATTCATATTATTATTAATTTTTCTACACATAGAAGTAGTGACTAAAAGCCGTGCATCTTTCATAAATATTGTATCGTATATCATGATTCATTTTTGTATTTCTTCATTATCAAATCCTTCAATGGGTTATTGCCTTTCAGTAAAGTGGTAAAATTCGTAATTCGATTTATTCGTCATAGAAAAGTTAGTCGGATATTTTAATCTAAATATTAATTCCTTAAAGAACATAACATACAATACGTAAGAAAATATTTCATTACATTATTTCCGTGAGGAAAATGAATGAATAAGCCTAGATCACCCAGGTTGTAATGTATTTGAATTTGTGCTCCGAGTGATGCATGATAATCTGGCGAAAGTGCAACTTAATTCGGTTCCAACTCGCGAGTTATTTATGCAGTGCGTAACATTCTATTCCGTGTTACCCGACGCGTGTAACATAATGTTCCCGTTGATGTACTAACACTGAACATTGTTCGCATGAGAACTGCTAATAACATAAATTACACGGTTGAGAATCCTTTGCGGTTGGAATAATTAATACTCGTAAGTCGACAAGAAGAGAATACTACGTCCTGTGAGTGCCAAGAAAAATAAGGTTGAATTGCGAGAACTTCAACCATATTTTCTTTTTCTCTCGAAGAAGGAGCGTTTTCTTTTTGTTTGTAAAACACCATTTCCAATTTATCAGTTTTTCATGGTTGCTTCCATTATTACTTTTACAAAACGAAAATGGATAATCGTTAGCGTGCGGTTGTTTAAAACGAGTTCGCTTACCCTGTGAAATTAGATGCCTAAAAATTAAAAATTATGGAGAAATCACTGATGAATATATGTAGATGGTTCTGATGCAGGGGCGGCCAGTGGGTTGCGAATTAGGAAGGGTGGCGAGTGTGTTTGAACTATCCCACACATTATACCTCTTCATAATATTTCTTGAACGAGCAAAACTATGGCACATAGAATACAACCGATCTGCATCTAGCGGGATTCTGATCCTTAAACGTTGTTGACGGAAGATGCAATTGTACTCTTGCGAAAATAAGTGATTTAAAAAAAAATATTTCCAGTAAACAGAACAGAAATTTATGAAATCAGATGAAAGGGTCTAAAAACTAAATTCGTCCTCAAATATTGCTGGTTTCCATTCAGATTCCATTTATTGCTGTTTAATTCTTTCCTAGATTTGATTTTCCTCTTTTTTGTGGAATGGCGCCTCCCTAAATCCCTTAACAAGCAGCCGCCACTCTTGTGATGTTATATATATTATGTGTTAGCATTGCCCATAACGATGTTTGAAATTCACTCTTTTATCTTTCCACGTGTCAATATTTTGCTTGTACATTTGTATCGGAAAGTACGAACACTTCAGTGATAATTGCAAATATTAATGAGAAACGTTGGAGAGATTTACAATGAATATGAAACACGAGATGAGAGTGGTTCTGGTTATTCTTAAACCAAAATACTAATTTCGTCCAAAACTTCAGTTGCCTCGATTTAACCAATTTAACCAGAAGTCCCTCTGGTGTGAATTATTAACAAACAGAGATGACCATCCAGGAGTATGCATTAAAGGTTTGAGTAAACCCAGGGAACATCTAAACCAAGACGGAGACAAAAGGCGGGTCATAAACATAGTTGAGAGTGAACACAATCACCACCAGCTCCGCCGCCTCCAAAAGCCTTCGCAGAAATCACCATGGTCGCCATCACCACCATCAGCCTGGCCCCTCCCCCAGCGTGTGCACTGAAAGTGGGCTGTCCGCGCGGGAGAGGGAGAAGGGACGGGCGCGCTGTCGGCCGCTGCGATACCACGCGGAAATTGCTCTGCTGCCTGCGCCGCTCTCCCAGCCACGCCCCCTCGCTGCCGGCCTCTCCGCGACCCCGCCACCCCCTCCAATGCTCAGCCGGGTTCAGGCATTTTCTCAAAACATTCATTTCTTTCTGAAATTCTGTCACCTTTTTGGGACAACGTTCTCAAGCCTATATGGCGACGAACGCGCACTAGCCCTTACGGACTTTAATTGGAGTAATCCTCCATTATAAACGCCGTCCAGGAGCCGCTGAGTAGGTCGTAGTCAGTCACTGTCAAGTCGAGAAATGGCCGACTAGTAGCGTCTCGCGCGCCCCCTGCGTCATCTACTCATCGGCCGGAATTGGGAAGGAATAAGGATTGAGGATAAGGTTTAGGTCGCTTCACAGGGGTGGACTTGCCCATGCGATGCAGTCAAATTTCACATGAGCGTCTGCGGGGATTCCTCGGGAATCGAACCCTGGACCTCAGTGCTGAAAGTCATGCTACTTTCGCCCTGACCCACGAAAGAACTTTATTTATTTATTTATTTATTTATATTTAATCACTTTGTTTCGACTTAACTGTTCTAATAGTCCATGTCTAATTTACAATAAATATTAGTCTATAATCACAAATATTTTATTGCACATTTGAAAAGAAAGAAAGAAAAACAAACAAACAAAAATATCCCTTTCCAGATATTAAATGAAACATGATCCATTCTTGTCCATTGTTTAGTACATAGAAAAGAATTGAAACAAACATTTGTTGTGGTTTTTGAGAATTGTTTTTTGTAGTTTGAGTGAAATTTTAGCAGGAATTCCGTAGAAAACGCTCGTTTAAAAAAATTATACATTGACATTTTTAAGGTCTGATATGTTAAATATTTCATTGAATACAAAACCTCTCTATGCAATATTGTATTTTTGCAATGTTAACCTTTTTCAATGTTGGAATATACAATGTTAACGAAAAATGGATCCGGCACCAATTTTTTACTGTCCTGCGATACTGAGACAGATCACAGTTGGTTGTAAAGCTACATTTATTCGACAGGGTAAAATGAAGATCATGTGCGTACGTGGTAGAGGCATTGGTAACGACTGACATGTGAAGACTTGGCTGTGAGCATAGGAGGCGGACGGTCGGTTTCATGGTTCAAAATATTATTTTCAAAATATTATTAAAGAAATGAACAAATATTCTAAAACTGACTTGCTCGTTGATAACACAAAAGTCACTTGCTCTGTTCATGAAATAAGAGTGCAGAAATGCAGATTATGATGTAACAATAAAAAATTCAGAAATGTTCCCAGAGAAATTGGCCGATGTAAGAAGAACTCATGAACGGAAATTGTTATTGTGTACTGTTGCTGAGGCAAAGAGTTGTACATTCCGCACACATTTTCTTAAGCCTTCATTTCGCTAGATGCGAGGGGAGTGGAGGGTTTTATTATTTTATTTACAGAACTATTATATGAAATCTGTAGCTCGTTTTTCGGTTCAAACAATTTTCTATTAGGCAGGAGCAAATACTTCTGTTTATCAGAGTCAACAAAACCTGTTGCTATCATTTATTCTGAATTCAATTTATTCTGAGTTTCCTAGACAATCTGTTTAAATCACGATTTTTTCATTCTGCAACAATTTTCACCTTTTTCATTGTTCCCTGCATGTCGTGCCATGTATGTAAACTCTTCGTATCCTTCTTGCTAATACCCGTGTAACGTTCTTAATTTCCTATTTTTCCCCATTAATGCAGGAGGTCCGACTAGGAGAACTTACCTCGTCTTGTTCCATTATGTTCCTTCGTTCTGACATTCCAGCTTTCCCTCTCAACATCTCATTTCTTATTCTTTAATTTTCCTCCCTCCATATTCCTAAACTAATGTCTCCATTCTCCGAAATCCAAAGTCATCTCCCCGTTTTCTACTCCTCCATCTCATAATGAACCTGCTTTCCGTAACCTGAGGGATTTCACCGTCCTCCCCCATTACGTGTCCTCTGCTCTCCCATCCTCGTTTGAGCTCCGCCGTCCTCTTCCTGGTGGACCGAGGCGGAAGTCGCCGCCAACGTCATTCTTGAAGCGCGGGGAGGCGGAAGAGAGAGAAAACGAGCAAGCGAGGCTACGAAACGAGCCGAGAAAATTAAAGATAAAACAGATACGTGACGAGGAGGATTACTACTGTGGCGGCGGAGAAATACGCTCGTAAACAAAGATATTGCGCCGACACCGATTTCACTTGCGCGGAGGCAGAGGCAGTTCCCACAGCGGCTGCCTTGTATTAAGGCTATTTTACTGAGAGCCCCTCCCCGTTCAGCATGCTTTTAACGGCGTGTTGCCTGAGGATGTCGAGCCCTGCTTAAGTAACACACTCTGTGCAATATCTTTATCAATTCATGTTTCGCTTTTTTTATGGTTGATGTTTGCGAGTATTATGAGCAGAATGGACGCAAGCGGGGGATTTGTTGACTTGTTATAATATGAAAGCGAAAATAAAAATATATACCTGCTTCTATATTACATCTGTATTATGGTCGTATTTCAAGGTATCACGATTACACCATTTGGATTGTTACAGTCAAGAATGAATTCATATTGTTTTCATGAGAAAGAAATGTTTTAAAAATTGTAATTTAGTAGTATGTGGCTTTTTGAACAAGTTTGGTGTTTTTATGTTAGATTTTTATTTTATAATATCAATTTGAAACAATAATTTGTGAGATATATTTCTAATAGTGGCATGGAAATGGTTTGTACTACGTTTCTTCTAAATTTATTGTCCATATTTTTTTGAGTAATTGATCGCTGCAGTTTTCCATTTTGAAGTAATATAAATACTCGACGAAAAATAAACTGTGCGTAATCTGCTATTGTTTATACTGCAATTTTTTTAACAATACATTTAAATCATTCTATGGTAAACGTGATGTGCAAGTGATAAGTGAGAGTATATTAAAATTTCTCCTTTACTGATTCTTTACGAAGGTGTTCAAAGTGTCGTATGAAAACGTGGATAAGTATCAATCCTTTCTACAAACCATTATCAGCAGTATAAAGTGAAGGTCTTAGGACTGTCATTTATATTCTTCGTCATATTTCCACAGCAATGTGATCTTTAAGAAAGCTCCACATATTTTCTGATACTAATTTCGTGCAATGCTTTTCTGCTTAGGGCCTATTAATGAAATAACATCGGTGGTGGGCGGGACGGCGCTGCTGCCGTGTGACATCGTGCCCCCTCTGCCCAATGACAGCGTCATCCTCGTCATCTGGTTCAAGAACGAGGTCACGCCCATCTACAGGTGAGCGACAACCTAATTGACGTGGTCATTCATACATCGCGTATTCGTTTTGATTTAAGGGCACTTTTGACTTGAAACGAACTTCAATGTATTTTTTAGTGATGAATGATATCGAGGTGAATTTATTGACGTTTCTCTCCGTGGATCATTTTGTATTGTCACTTAGATAATAATATTTTTATAGAGAATTTATTTACCAACATATTGAAAATGCTTTCAATTATTTCACTTTTTAATCTTCGTGCATGTCTGGTTGACCTTAAGATGCTTAGAAAGTATCTGATATTTGAATTCACCATGTTTTCCGTAACCAAATATACCAAATGATACATTTATTTTAGTAATAATACCATGCGGACTAATGTTCAGTAATTATCAAGCATATTTTGGGTTAAATGTAATAACTGATCTTAGAGAAGTATATTGAAAAAAAATTATTTAGTGACATTCTTATAAACTATAAGGGTTATTAGTGACTATAATATACAATCATTTTTACATAAAATACATAGTTTTTTGCACTTTTTACACGCATATAAAGCATATCAAAATATGTCTGTCTGTCATATCAAAATATGGAGGAAAACATAATTTTAAGGTATTTTTTCTGCAAACATACATGAAGTTGTTTTTATATATTTTTATTTTGTATTTTTCATTCGTTTAACAAAAATATTTCTTAAAGAAAATTATCTGAAATTTTCCCAAGCGAACATTTATTTATGGTTATTTCAAATTCGCAATAAATTTAACTTTTCACGTATTGCTATGCGTTTTAAATTTCATAAAATAGATAAACAACGCAAAAAGAAATGTGACACTGTGATTTGCATATAGTAAAAATATACCATCATGCGCCTCACTTTATCCCTTCATCTCGTGACTTCACACAACAAAGAACTGAGTGTCGAGTTTTAAACGCAAAACGCATTTCAAAGTTCCATCAACTATGAAAAAAAAAAATAAAAGTTTCATACTCAAACCTGACACATGAATAACAACAGCGGAAAGGTTCATAAGAAGTAATGAGGCCGCGGGCACGTCCCTGCGGCACTCCGTGATTAAGCAATCAATTCCACTTGCGCCCGCGAGCGTAGATCATCGACAGATAATAAAAGCCCAGTTGATCCACACTCCCCGTCTGTCTCCCCCTGTCGTGCTGCCGCCCTGCCGTGCCGCGATCGCGCGCCGAGTGCATTAGCTGCAGTATCACAGCTGAGAGAGCGCGCGCATCGGGCACTGCGACTGCATTTGCACTTCGCAAATGACACCGCCCGGCTGCGGGGGGAGGGCGGCGGTGGTGGTGGGGGCCAAACGGAAAGCAGTCACGGCAACGCCCCAAGGCCGGCCAACGTGGCCAGCAAGCCTGCGATAACTCCCGTACAGTGGTCTGGGTCATTGGGATCGCGGGGACAATTGCATTACATTAAATTTTGTTTTTGTCATTCCGAAGAAGCATCCTTCTGGGAGTTAATGGCCGAATGGTAACTCATTACATCGTCAACGAATTTCATTTATCTATATAAAACATATGAAAGTTTCTGTCCGTCAGATCAAAAATATTATTTTTAGCTCATTTAGGTCAATTTTTACGTTAATTACTTGAAATAAAAATTATTTCAAGTGTTTTTAGAATATCTGGCATTCTTTGGAACAAATGCGTCATTTTTGAGGGAGAGTTAGAAGAAAAGTAAAGATTTGTTTGTTAATGTAGGCTACTTCTTTTAGATCAATTTTTTAAAATTTTTAGTAAAACTTATTTTCACTAGTGTTTTCCAATTTGAGCAAAAGTTCTGTTTATACACGATTTCATTTAAAAAATACGCCTTACCTCCCTTTCATACACTTAAATCAAAAATAGCATCCTTCAATTATTCGCAAATATTGCTGAGGAAATTACTAAGTGGATAAGAATTTTCTGAATGCCAATAAGTTATTATCGAGAGATATGCGACGAGGTCTTTGAATTTTTTCCGAGATGAATACATGAGTAACGAAGAGAAAAACAAATTTGATTCACACCGAAACTTGTGTCACCCCGCAATGCAGGACATTATTGTCAGATGAAAATTTAAAAACATTTATTCAGCATTTCAAAAATATATTTAGCATAATTTTACAACAATGAATTGAATTCATGAGTTGTAAAGAAATGTTTGAGAAATTATAATGAAATGTTGGGGAGTGGTTCTCGTTGGTAAGTTTCTTTGACTCTTCTTCTTTCTCAAGTTATTACTCTTAAAACAAGTCCATCTGTGTAAACGATTATACCAAAATATGAAGAAGCGATCAATTTTTTTAAAGATAATGCCTGTTAACATGTTCAATAGAAACCAGAAACTGACATTGAAGTTAATATGTGTATACTTGTAAATAAATTACTCGATTTTTAAATTTGTTCCGGCCTCTATGGAAAATCACCTTTTTACAAACTTATTTGAAAATAATGTGCATTTTAGAATCTTTTTCAATATTTTCTCCAAAGGTCTTTAATTTGGACATTAAAAGACACTAATTTCTTCTTGAGAAGTTCATTAAAAATGTATAATTTAATATTACTAGTTTATCCTTTTATTAATGTAGAAGCTTACTTTACCAATGAAATCGCTCTCCATGAAAACATCGAAATCCAATTAAATGTTATAATTAAAAACAACAAAAACCTTTTCTCTTCTCGATTTGCAGTATTGTATTCGCCATTTAGAAGGCTAACCTTTTTTATATATCGCTACAATTCAAAAATCTCCGTACGTAAAATAACAATCAGTTCATTTTAAATGCATTAAAATATTTAACTGGCCTGTGGATTCACACATTTTAATATTGAAATTTTCATGTTACATTTGTATTAAGTAACCACCAAACCAAGCTATCATAGCTTGAAATAAAATTCAGGATAATTGTAGTTAATGCCATGGGGTTAATTCATTTTTAGTTTTTCGTGAGCCACCAAGCAGTGACAATGGTGCCACTCGTCGGCGTTAATCATATTTAGCATGAACATAACCAGAAAATGCATGGAATGTGTTATCAGCTTGTGGGGCGGAGCTGTTGAGGGTGATCACTGATTAGCTTGGAAGTGTCAGTACAACTGACTTCGTGGAAGTTGCCGCCTTCGCTGATGTTGGTTTCCAAAAAGGAACACCTCTTTAATGTCTCGCCAGAGCATGGAATCGTGTGTTTGGTAGAAACGTTTTCTTTGGTAGACACCTGGATGAGTCAAGCACGAGAAGCAAAAATTTGACGATGCTAACCTCAAAATGCTTATTCTCATAGGCTATAAATAGAATTAAAGAAAGAAGTATGCAGCGTCATAATAGACCAATCTTCAATTTCGTCAACGTAGTGCTGGTTGTGGGTGCATGAGGAGGAACGGGTTGATTGTTAACATTATTACGCTCTTTTCATAGCTTTCAAATAAACGGGTTGACCGGTAAAGCTCGTGTGGCAAAACGTCAATGATGTCAGCTGAATTAGGGCAGCTCTGGCAGAGTGAGAGAGAGAGAGAGTGGGGGGGGGGGAAAGAGAGATGGAATGCGAGGATGATCGGGTCGATTGATTGATGTTTCTGAGTATACCAAGTGTTATGACCATTAGACGTTAGATTAGACCATTAGTGCAGTGGATGTTTTAACACGAGAGATGGAAGGTAAGATAAGCCGGCGACACATATAGTGCACGTAAGTGTGTATACATGACGAAATAGGAAGGAAAGATTTCATGTGGTCCTTTCTCCATTTGTTGGGATTACTACTGCGACATTCGCCTAGTTTTTATCTGGGGAACGTCCGAAAACTACCGATCGGAGCAGCCGTCCATTAACTCTCTTCCAGACGACGGCTGCATTCAAAGAAGCTACGAGTATGTAGCTAGAGTCGGAAATCAGCCACTGTTACAAAGAGGTTCGACAATGTCCTGCACGGGGACGCTGCAGAGACAGAGGCAATGTTGGCACTGAGCTAATCGCAGCCGGTGGCCATGTCCGCCAGATGGGGGCGGTGATGGCGGCGAGATGCAGTCGGTCACGGCGTCAATCAGGCTGAGGCTGAGACTGTAACGACAGATGGAGGGAAGATGAAAGCAGCGATCTGCTAAAAAAGTTTCTTTGTGCGGCTTGAATTGAGGCGACGACACAATGGCAGATTCGCCGACATATTCTCATTGTGGTGGTCGTTGGATCTCTCGAAAATGGCATGCGTATTGAGATACAATGGAGATCACGATTCGGAGATAGATATCGCGGGAAGTGATATGTATAAAAATGAACTAATTAGAGGAACAAAAGGAGAAATGAGGGAGTCCATTGGAGACCCGTTGCGAACCAGCTTAGTCGACAAATCGTCGTTCAGTGTCGGTCATTTGAAGCTCAATGTTCAAAGGTGAACGGCTAGTGCGTTGGGCCCTGTGATGTGCAACCGCTGGTAGAAGGGGCGCGAGGATGGGATTTTGGTCGTGAGAAGTAAGTACAATGTGACAGTATGGCTGTTTACCGCGGTAAAGTGACGACGTTAGTGTTGAAATGATGACGGTGATGTGTGATGAGAGAGTATGTGGTGGCCTATAGCGTGGCGGTGTTGATGAGGGTATGTTTGTGCCGGTGTCAGTGAGGGCTGTGCGCAATCAGGTATATCGGAAGATAGAGGATTGCGACGAAAAAAGTGGTTGGTGTTCGCAGACGTTTCGGTTGGTGACGGGTGAGCGTGGGAATGGTGACGATAGAGTAAAAGAGGTAGCGAGGCGATAATCAGTGGGAGAAGTAACTAGAGTGAGGATGATAAAAAATGGGGTGTTGAAAGGGTCAACGTGAGTTGATCTCGTGAGGACATTGGATTGGTGATAAGGAAGCGGATGGTGACGGTGGAGCGGTAATACTCAATTCGTGAACGGTGACAAGGAGCAGGTTATGTTAGTGGCAGCATGAGGATGGAGAACAGAGAGTAGGTGACTAGCTTCAGCGTGGTGACGAGGAAGATGATGGAGGCGGTAAGGTGGGTTCGTGACGGT